AAGAGAATGAAGGGAAGTGGGGGAGGTGGGAATAGAAAAGATAGTAGAATGAATCAGACATAACTTTCCTATGTTCATATATGAATACACAACCACTGAAATTCCATATAATGTACAACCACAAGAATGGGATCCTAATTAGGATAAGTTATACTCCTTTGTATGTATGTCAAAATACACTCTACTGTCATGTATACCTAAAAAGAACATATAAAAAAAATCAAAAAACAAAAAAAACTAAGTAGGACACCAAGTCAGACTCAAAAGGACAGAGCAGGTAGAAAATGAAAGGGTAGCTTGGGACCTCTATGGCATTTTTACAGTCACAAAATTGCCTGTAAATACTTATCTGCAAATACTTGGAAAAGGAAAGAAGACTTGGATAGAAGACTGGGCCCTCATATAGGAACTGGTAACACTTGCCTAGATAGATTTTGAAATTGCTGCAGACTATGTCCACTGTGTGCCTTTAATTTTATCTATCTATCTATCTATCTATCTATCTATCTATCTATCTATCTATCTATCTATCTATTCATCCATCCATCCTAGGGAATTGAACCCTGGGGCACTTTATTACTAAGAAACATTCCTAATACTTTTTATTTTTGAGACAGAATCTCGCTAAGTTGCCCAGGCTGGCCTTGAATGTGAGATCCTCCTGCCTTAGCCTACTGAGTAGCTGATATTACAGGCATATGCCACTGAGCTCAGCCAATTTCCTCTCCTTAAAATGGGAAAGCCTATAGCAGGTTGCAGCACATCTACCCCACCACTGTATGTTGTGTGTAGAGTGGGGGGTGCGGAGGGGAGGTAACTTGTTCTTTAAGTTCCCAGCTACTTTAATTGATTGAAATGATTGTCAAGAAGCTGTGCCCAAAACTGTACCTGAGGAGTTTCTCTTATATCTTGATCTGATCTGGATGACCAGCTCCTAGATGTCTTTGGAGAAAGACTGACTCTATGCATGGGACAGGGACATAAATTATGGCCAGAGAGTAAAATGATAGACTATATATCCCAAATATGTTTGTATCAACATATCCTACCTCATGTATTCTGACAATGTGGTACTGTGATTTGTCCATCAAGAGACAACATCTAAGTTCCCTCTCTTTGATTCTCAGTCACATAGAAGAGAGTCTATGTGACTTGTGAGATAAGTCATAAAAGGGGATGCAAATTTGCCTGGTCCTCTTGGGATTCTCACCCTTAGGACATAGCCACCACACTGTGGAAGCCAAGGAAGCCAAGCAGTCACATGCAATAGGCCTTAGAGGGAAGATAGGGCCTCAGCTGAGGTCCCAGCCAATAGAAAGCCTCCACCAAAGGACACATGAGTAAGTAGCACTCAAAGAACTCAAGCCCCATGGCTTTTGTGCTACTTCAGCTGTTGCCAAGTGGAGGAGAGATGAGACATGCTTGCTGAGCCCTCCCCAAATTGTACATTGATCAGCAAGGTAGGTACTGTCATTCAAGCCTCAAAGTTTTGAACTGGTGTACAACAGATAACAAACTGAGGGACATTCAAGTCTGATGTAATGTAGATGAATTTAAGATGGTTTATTCTCTACAGTGGCTTTTTCCAAGTCTAAACAAGTCTGAGGGAACTTTTATTCAATCATCTTTCAAAGTCACCATCAGAAATGACTAAAATAGTGGGCTGGGGCTGGGGCTGAGTGGTGAGTGCTTGCCTGGCATGTGTGAGGCCCCGAGTTCGATCCTCAGTACCACATAAAAAAAAAATAGTAATAAGTAAAATAAAGGTATTGTGTCCATCTTACAACTTTAAAAAAATGATTAAAATAAACCTATTTATATCTCACTTTATCCCCCTTTATTAATTTCCTATGTATTCTTTAATAAATATTCTAATCTCATATGTAAAATGATATCTACCTCCTCCAGGGAGTTTTTCAAGAAAAAAATTTTTTGAGACAGGCTATAATTGCTTAGACGGGCCTCAAACCCCTGGGCTCCAGTGATCCTCTCTTGCCTCAGCATTTCAAGTACCTGGAACCATGGGTGCATGGCACTATGAACGATTTGTTTTTCCTGAATTTTATAAGCAATTTTGACAATGCTCACAGCATTTTTTTAAAGAAAGGAAAGAAGAACGGATTAAAGACAGACTGGGGGAAGAGAAAGACCTGTAGGACACAAAAAATTGCTAGAACCAATTTAGTAATTCAACTGAGAAGAGAATCCATGTTTTCATGTTATCAACAGTGTTTTAATGACAAAGTCTCTTCAACATGAAGAAAATATTGACATTCTGTAAATACCTCTTCTGGAATACTTGTGTTGAATGGGTCACGACTGGGAGATCCCATTACTGGGGAAGATGATGGACTTTTCTCTATGTCACTAAAGCCCTGTGCATCCAACAAAGTAGAGATGGAACTGGAATTGAGCAGATCTTCATATTCACCATCTTTGCCTAGAAAAAGACAAAAGTAAGAAGAATAGCAGCTCTTCACTTATTTCACTTTTAGAGGAATTAGAGTGACTAGAATTTTTTTCTTTTTTTTCTCTTGAGGGGGTGGGGGTGCTAGGGATTGAACTCAGGGCCTCATGCATAATAAATATGTACCTTTTTACTGAGCTGCACCCATATTCCAAAATATAAAAAAATTTTCTGATTCTCAAAAATGCAAGAGTCAATTGTTCCTGGCATCAATGGAAAAAGAGCTACATGTAGAAACAGCATCTTAAACTGTGAGTACCTAAGGCCAGTGAGTACCCAGTGGCGTTATTAGTAGAGAAAAAAAAAATCATATTTGTTAGGGTTATTAACTCACAAGACTGCAATAAAACAAAAAGTTAAGTTATCCCAACAAACATGGAAAACTAGGGGGGGGGCGGTGGTTATACATTTTTAGTTTAGAAAAACCAAGCTGACACAACAAAATAATTTTGAATAGGAACATAGCCCCTATTAAAATGACTCATTTTTCATCACTACTCTGGAAAATACAGAGAGAGGAAAATAGAAATAGAAAAAAAAATGAAATTTAATCTTCAAAAAGATCTTTTTATACCATTTCAAAGAAGAAAGAACAGCCTAGCAGAGAAAAGCAACCACATATTCAGCAAAGCAGTGACTTTATTTCTTCATAGTTATAGAAATAAAAAGGATTAATTGATGAACAACATGGAGCCAGATAGTCATTTTTTTAAAAAGTAGAACTAATGTCTCTAAATGACACTAAATGCTAAATCATATACTTGCTTGAAGATCTTAATCAGACCATAACTTCTTAAATTGAAATATTATTAGAATTTTATTCTAATGTTACCAGAACTTAAGTGTTATTAAAGAGTTGTGTGAAGATTAAATAAATAAATATAAATGCTAGTGAGACATCCCTGTTTATGTAACTCTTTACTGGAACAGGGCATTCTCTGTAATGTTTTATGAAAACCTATGCACTGTTAAAACTACCTTTGGGGTTAAAAATTAAAACTACTTAAAACTTAAAGCTTAAAACTACCTTTGGAGCAGGGGATGTAGCTTAGAGGTAGAACACTTGTTTAGCATATGTAAGGAGTTTGAATGCCAGCATCACAAAAACCTACAAACATAACACTAGTTTTATTATGTTTTTTTTCTGTTGCTAAGAATTGAACCCAGGGCCTTGTGCAAGTTTAGGAAAATACTGTCATTGAGCTAAATCCCCAATCCCAAAACTACCTTTCTAATCTACATGTTTATGTGGATAGGAAAAAAGTACTAGAAAGAAATATGTGAAAATATCAATAGTGATCATGCTGGTACAAATGTTTAGTGTATTTTCCCCCTTGTCTCTATTTTCTAAATGCTTTGGCATACAGACTATTTATGGGAATTAATACTCTTCCTTTTTATTGGTGCGTTATAATTGTACATAGTAGTGGGATTCATTATTCTGTATTTGTACATAACAAATCTAATTCCATATCTTTCTTGGGTTTTAAACTTAAGAATTGCTGGGTTGAAATTCCATAAAATCCATAATATTTTAAATGTTATGTAGGTGTAAAAATTAATCACTTACAAATTTGTAACAATCCTTAAAAGAGATACTTGAAGGCACAGAAAAATGCTGGGTGATGAGAACTGTCATAGACTACATGGATAATTAGAGGGTGATTTCCTTATTTAGATGTTTATAAAATCTTCATATGTTAGTATGAAAAGAAAAATGTTCTTTTTTCCCTCCAAAATATCCTGGTCCAAAGCATTTATTTTTTTCTTCATGAATTTATCAAAACTAAAATTTGAAAGTCCGAGTGTTTCATGAGTATTTTTCAAAAGACATGTTCAGTTCCAGTGCTTACCTTCAGAGCAAATAATTACCCATGACTTACTAACAAACAAAACAAGAGCACTTTTAAAGTTCCTCATATTTTTGCTTTGAATGACTCTCAAATTTTCTCCACATTCGAAGATAGCCAATTGTCCCACATGCAGATAAAGCAGTAATAAATAGAACTAATTTTACTTAGATGTCTTATAGATTCTTTGAACACACATGTTCAGAGCTGAACTCATCTCCCTTAATCTCCCCAATGTTCTTTCTCAAGGCTTCCCCATCTTGGTAAATGGTACCATCACTTGCACAACTGCTATAGTCAAAATCATGTATCTTTCTTGATTGTTTTCCTCTTTACTCTCATCTAATTTATCCCACCACTGTGTTGATTTCAATACCATACCACATTTTCAATCAGACCCAGTCCCATTAGATCTTTTCATTTGGAATACTGCAAGAGTCTTAATTGCTTTCCCCTGCTCCCAATATCGTTCTCCACCTGGTCCAGTTGTTATACGACCATGCTGAAGACTATTAAAAATCTTGCAGTGGATCTCTCCACACTTGAACAAGAGCTGAACCCTTCATCCCCATTACTGAGCTGCTGCTCATCTCATCATATCTCTCTCCCCACTGCTCACTACCTTCTGGTCACATTGGTTTCCTTTTACTCTTAAATATACCAGGATGTAGGCCCTTTGCACATGTTGCTATTCTCCCTTTCTAGAATGCTATCTAATCAACTTCTTATAGATGTTCTTCCTGGCCAAACTAATCCACTATTCTTATACTCATTAGCCTGGATACTTTCTGGTAGAAATTAACTGCCTGATAATATTATTCAAAAAATAAATGAGCCACTGAATTTAGAATAATGCAAGAAATTAGAGGGGGCACAGTCGGACATCGGCTCCAACCATGCGGTAAGCAGACGTCCAGAGCCCAGCCCAGCCCAAGGTGGGAGGGGCACAGTCAGACATCCGCTCTGCCGGCCCACCCGGTAGGCAGAAGACCAGAGGCTAGGCGGGGCCCAGCCAGCCACTGGCTCCGCCCAACACGGTAAGCAGACATCCAGTGCCTAGCCGGAGGCAGGAGGGGGCCCAGCCAGCCATCGGCCCAGCCACCCACCCTGCAGACCTAGAGAAGGGGCTGTCCTGGGGCACTGGGGTCAGACCAAAGGAGGCACAGAACGCAGAAACTTGGCTTGTGGGTCAGCAGACCGAGCTCTGGACAAACATAAGGTCTCCCCAACATCCCCCACCTCATCAAACACGTTAGGAGAAAAACAGATGGAACCCATCTTGGAAAATCCCACCAACCCTTTAAAGCCATCACCCGGTGGGCGTGGCTACCAGTGCATTCTGGGACGGATCAGGCACCTGGTTTCCATCTCAGAGACTAAAATTAGAGAGGCTACATGTGGAAGCTCAAGTCCTCTCACACTAGCTACATCCACCTAATGGAAGGGAAAAAAATAAATAAAATTGGGTTCAGAGAGACTTTTTTCCTTTCCTTTTCTTTCCTCACTTACTTTCTTTTTCCCTCCCTCTTTTTTCCTTGTTATTTTTTCTTCTTCTTTTTTTCTTCTTCTTCTGTCCTTCTTACTCCCTCTATCCCACTTTCAACCCCCTAAATTTTACTATCTATAAGTAGGGTAATCTTCTAAATACAGATAGGAGTTTGAATCTATACATTATTCCATTATTCTATACATTATTCCATCTATTGGTTAGAGCTCTCCAAAGTTGCTAAGTTAGATCAACCCCATACCCTTACTCTTTTTCCCCCTAAACATAGCATCCTACACCTGAAATTCAGTTTTCTTTATGCTACCAGAAATGGTAGGCCTTTTATGAAACTAAGGACTATATTTTTAAATGATAATTGAAGTTAACATTGGTAGACATAGACCTAGCTATAATTGTATTAATAATGAAAACAGTTCCCAATATCAATAGTACATCATCTAAGCACAAGTTAACATTTCTTTCTCCACAAAAGAGGGACTTTGGAACTAAAAAAGAGCAATATAAATATATAGGGGGAAAATCAATAACACAACAGTTTCACAAAGGTGGAAAGAAACGTGAGCAGTATGAAAAGACAAGGAAAGAAAGGACCACAAACAATGCAGGTAAATTCAACATTAGAAGAGGTAATATCTGCAGCAGATGGAATGTCAGATAAAGAGTTCAGGATATACATGCTTCAGATGATCTGGAGTTTCAAGGAAGACATTAGACAGCAAATTCAGACAATGAAAGATCACTTCGTCAAGGAATTACATAAACAAATCCAAGAAGCAAAAGATCAACTTTACAGGGAGATAGAGGATATTAAAAAAAAAACAAACAGAAATCCTGGAATTGAAGGAAACA